AGATAAGAACAATAAGATAAGAACAAGCAAAATGAGCTAATCTAATCTAGATAAGGCTGTTGTTGCCGAACTGGGTAGGATGAGCATCACTGAATCCTTGCTGCTGCTGGCGGTGGGCCCGGGGCCTGTTGCTGCCGGCGGCGATGGTACGTCTTCCCGAGGAAGGCGTCCATAACAGTTTACGTAAACAACCCAAAGTGTAAAGATACTAAATGATGAACCATCAGTATACATACCAAAAAAAAAATTAAGTATGAACATTTTATATAACACTTGTTGTATTTCTACGGTCATGTCTCCAACACAACATATATTAGCTTCAACAGTCAAAACTAATAACTACTGGTATAAATAGACAAAATATGAAATAAATAAAAGAATAAAAGGAAAAAAGAGAATGAAAGAAGAAACAAGGGACCAAATACAAACCAGAGTGAGACCCGACAATCCTTGAACAGGAATAGGTTGCGATCTTGGTTGTGTATCCCCAGTTCCAAGTTGTCCATATTCATTGTTTCCCCATGCCCACAATGTTCCTTCTTCTACGAGTGCTAAATTATGAAATGCACCAACTGCAATAAGCCTCACCTTTTCAAGACCTTGTACTCTTACTGGAGTGGATATCTGTTTTCTATGGCCCAAAAAAAAAAAAACACAACATTTATAAGTAGATATCAAGCATACAACAAAATGAGTCGGGAATCAGAACAGATCTACGATCAGTATCATGGCGAAACAAGGACAAAAGCTTAAAAAGCCAGCAAGCAGGAAGTATACATATCTCCAGGAGGCCATGGTTGACCCCATGTCCATACATGCCCCTCCCGTGTAAGCACTACAGAATGAGTACCTCCAGCAGCAACCTGTAAAATAAGCAGTTACAGATTGTTAATCATCATTCCCAAGAAAAGTAAGGCATACCAATGCAGAAAGAAAAATCCTGCATCAAGTTTTATTTGGAGTTTTAAGTTTTCTTGTTTTTTTATTGAGAACAGTATAACAAAAATAGTAAGATGCACAAAGCTCCATAGCTCTGTGCTCAACTCTACCCAAGGCCATTTTTATTTAAATTTCCAAGTTTCTTTTTTTTTCAAAAGTAGTAATGAAAGATGCAATAATAAGGATGGACTGCAGTTTGATATACTGATGAGCAGGCAAGAGAGTTAGATAAGTTCGCTGAATTTTTTTAATGTAGGGTATTATATTAATATTCAAAAGATCAGCATGAATGACATGTACAAAAACTCTGCACATTGGCCTATACAGATCTGTTAACTATTATGAGAACAAAGCATCCTTGTCAAGGAACCGACTATACTGCAACCCTTTAAACTCCTTGTGTGCTGCACAGCAAAAGTGAAGCTTTCCTTTTAAGTCATCAACAAAATGAGTGGGAAACAAATCCCCAAGCCAGGATGGCTTCACCATGACCTTTTACAGAAAATGCTAGAATGTTGTCAAACATGACCTCATGAAGTGGTGAAGGTGTTCCAAGAGTTTCACAACAATGCAGTATTTGAAATAAGCTTAAATTCCACCAATCAAAAGAGAAGTTTAAATGCCAAATTCTTGACTCTCATTCCCAAGAAGGGGGACGGTGGAGACTAAAGAAAATTCTCCTTTCAGTTTAAGTGGTCATATGTATAAAATTCTCCCCAAAGTGATATCAGAAAGAATTAAGAAAGCCATGCAGTTTATCATATCAAAATCTCAAGGAGCATTCATGGAAGGGAGGCTGATACCTTAATGGGGTGTTGGTTTCCAATAAAATAATTGACTCTAGATTAAGCAGTTGGAGATATTTGCAAGGCTGATATGGAGGAGGCACATTGATCATATGAATTCATGTAGCCAACCCCATATAGTTGGGACAAGGCTTATAAGGACAAACTTTGGATCACTACCCCTACCTTTTCAGTGATTATAAATGGGGCAAATCATTGAAACTCTCCAAGCTCCAGGGGAATTAGGGGGGAGTATCCATTATCCCAATTCCTCTTCATATATATCATAGAGGCTCTAAGCAGGACGATGATGATGATGACAGCTCAAGAGAGATTTATTGAAGGTTTATAAGTAGGAGAGGAATTAGAACTGATCCCATTGCTATCTGTGGATAACACATTATTCTTCTTCAAAGCTGATCTAGATGATATGTTCCATCTCTGTAGCATTCTAAGATGGTTCAAAGTAGTTTCATGTTGGCGTGTCAACATGAACAAGACAGAAATAATGGCAGTAGGAGAAATGGAAGAGTTGGGGACCTTAGCTGATATGTTGGTGTGGAACATGTGCAAGATTGCTCTCATTGTAAGTATCCTTTCATCCCTCCCCACATATTTCTTGTCTATATTCATGTTACCAACTTACCATCTAGTGTCGCGAGTAAGCTAGAAAAGTGAATGAGGGACTTCTTATGGAATAGATAGAAGGATGAACACAATAATTGGGTAAATTAAACTAAGGCATGTGAACCAAAGAAAAAATCAAGGAAGATTGGGAATATGGAGACTAAAGCTAATAAATACTGCCCTACTTGGAAAATGGTTTGGAGATTTAATGAGCAGTTTGGAAAGCTGTGGAGGCAGTTCATTTCAGAGAAATATGGCACAAGAAACTTCCATTGGGATCTAGAGAAAGCCACTGCTTTGGATGTGTGTTGTGGAAAGGAATAGAAAAAGTCTTATCTGGAGTTCATGAAAGGCATTAAATATAAGATTGGTGATCTTCAACGGTCAAATTCTGGATGGACCCTTGGTTTGACGATCATCCACCGATGGAGCTTTTCCCATCACTTCCTATATTTCCCAGAATAGACAGGTTCGTTCAGTAGATTACCATGAACGGCAGAATGGGGTAGTAGTATGGAATCCAAATTTAAGGGGAAATTTAAATGAATGGGAGATCATGTCTACAGTTGAGCAGTTGCAGAAATTTCAGAATGTGAGGTCCGGCCCAAATGAACGAGAAAGAAGATCTGGATCTTTTTCAGTAAGGTCATTTTGCAATCAATTTGGCATTCCTGTAGTCAGTTTTTTAGCTTAGACAGCAGCAGCTTTGGAGTTCGGACAAGTGAATTAATCATCTGGTTCATTAGAAAAAACGATAAGATTGTTAAACCTCCTTAGTCATCGGGTCTCCGTGCCCCCAAAAACTTTCCAAGACTTGGTAGAGTGATGACGTAATGCCTATGGTCACCTTCTCACTTATATTTTACTCACAAACTATTAAAACATTTTCCTTACAGATTCCCAACATACACAGCAGGAAGGTTCCTATGTGCTATGGTTTGGCTCAAAATAATATTAAATTGAAGACTGAAGAGTAGTATCACCTGGCGAACTGAAAGCTTTGGCGCACATCTCTGAGGTATCACTATATCTCTCCTAAGAGCCCGACTATTTTCATCTTTTCGCTCAGGTTCCTCGCCACACTGCCCATACTCATTACCACCTGCACAATAATTACTTGTTCAAATTCAACAGAAAACATATCATCCCTTCCCCCAGAAAATAATAAAGATTCCCAATAGAACTAAAGAGTATGTGAAGGAAGGCGACATAAAAATACCCCAGGCATAAGCTCGGCCTTGATCGTCAACTGCCAAACAGTGCCATCCACCAATAGCTGCCTGAAATTAAGAAATCGGCACTGATTTTATTCAATTTCTTGGGATTTTATCTGGCATTGAAATAAACATAATGGTATCTAGTTTTTAAAACCATGATCAAGCATTCTTCTTATCTTACCTGAACAATCTTCACATTGGCAAGAGCTTTCACCTGGCTAGGAATATTCTCGGTTTTACTTTCAGGTGGGTGGCCTAAGGTTCCCCTTTGGTTCCATCCCCATGTAAATAGCTGAAACCCAAGAAAACAAGAAACTATTTCTAAACTATGTGGACTTCATAGAGTAAGAAGGAACAGTGTTGAGAATAAAAAAAATGGCCTAAAAAGAAGGAAAAAAAGAATCGGACCTTCCCATCTTCACAAATTGCCAGTGAGTTCCTGCTCCCAGCGACCACAGAACAAATCTTTTCATTCTTCAGCGCGTTAATAGTGCATACCCAATCTTTCTCTTCGTCGTTGCCAATGCCCAACTGCCCATCTTCTCCTGAGCCCCTGAGACAACAGTATAAGGTAAGCAACAACACAATACAAAATCAAAATCCACAATGAAACTGCAACTAAGTACACACAGAGAGAGAGAGAGAGGGAGTCACAGACCATGCCAATATAATGGGGTTTGTGGAAGCCATAGCAGAGAGAGAGAGAGAGAGAGAGCGTGGCTGAACTGAATGCCAGGGTAAAGGCATAGGAAGCGCCAAAAGTATTACATACAAATTACAATGCGTGCCCGTGTGAGAATTTTATTCCAAGTGGAGGGAATGAGATTCGATTCGTTGCAGCAATACTACTGCAAATGTGCATATCAGTTGGTGAAAAGTATGTTTTCATTTACCTAGATGATGATCAGGTTTCAGGATCCACCAAAAAATGTGAGTCCCACCTAGGAGAGTGAACTAGAATTAGATCAACTTGATCATGATTCATCCGTTATTCTGGAAGCCACCCAATTAAAATATTTTCCTCACCGTCCAAACTCCCAAGCTATGCAACCAACCAATCATCATGTTTCAAGTGGATTACGTATATTTGGGGCTTCAAGGAGGATGGTGGATGCAATCTTCCATCTATAACCATTGGAATCATCTGCCCCGTTTGGTAGAATCGTAGAGATACATGCCTATCAATTCAAAATATCTGACATGAGATTGACGCCTCTTCGTTAAAGGTAAGTCGTTTACGTGATTGGTGATTATTTTGGTAGTAATTGCAATTATATACAAAAGTGTTATTTCTCAACGGTAGCAAATTTTAACTCAAATGGGAAATTTATTTTCTCAAGTCGTCAAAGGATATATCAAATGAGGGGTGTCTCATTTGGTATGTTAGTTGGTTCACCGTTCACTCGAATAGAAAATTTTCGATTAGTACCTGTATTTTGGGCTTAGTGCCATTTTGCGATAATTTAGTATTCAAATTTTTAAAATTATATAATCTAGTACCTGTTGTTAATTAGTTATTAATCAGTCATTAAGTGGCATTTAAAAAAAATAAATATCCTTCAAGTGTTATTTATTTATTTTTATCAATTATTTAAACATTGACAAAAAATTAGCAATCTCAAATCTTTACATTTTCCATTCAAGAAAGTTGGGGTCACATTTGAGTGGGCATTTTGGTGATTAAAGGTGTAAAGTGGGCCATGTCGGGCCGACATGACACGGCGCCCACGGGCGGCCTGCGCAAAGTGCGGGCTGTGCCGCCCGCCCCGGTGAAAAATTTGGGGGTTGGCCCGACACGGCCCATAGCCCAAGCACATGCCGTGTCGTGTTGTGTCGCGGGCCAGGTTGGCCCGTGGGCCAAGCCTTGGCCCAAGTCGGACCATGGACAGGGCCAAAGCTATTTTTGCCTATTTATTTAAAAAAATTAAAAAAAAACTTAAAATTTTAATTTTATATGAATTTTGATGTATATAATATATACAATAATTAAATAAATTAGCATAATAAAATTGAAAACAATTGTTTATTTTATTAATATATTATATACTACATATTATTATATAATTATAATTTATATAATATATTATATGTTATATATAAATATAACATATAAATATTATATATATGGGCCATGCCGGCACGCGGGCTGCAGGCGGCACGACCCGCTTGGTTGTGTCGTGTCGTGTTGGCTCGTGGACTCCAAACCCTAGGCCCAACACAACACGGACCATCATGTCGGGCCTGGCATGGCCCGCGGACTTTCGTGCCGAGTTAGGCCGTGCCGGGCCACGGGCGGCACGACCCAATTTACACCTCTATTAGTGACTCCAACTTTCTTTAATAGAAGAGACAAGGATTTGAAATTGTATACAAAGACCCCCCTGTACTATGGGGTCTATGACAAAGACCCTCCTGTACTTTGTTTTAGGACAAAGGCCCCCCCGTACTATGACCATGAGACAAAAGACCCCTTCCATTAGCTTTTCGTCGAAATATTTTTTAATCCTCGTACTACCCTTTTAATAACTATTCGACCGGAGAAAAAATAGCGGGTAATCCCTTCTACCTCAAATTCTTTCGCATTTCTCTCCCCTGAGTAGGGTCATAGAGAAGGTCGCCGCAGTTCCTAACATTCCGAACTCGAAATACGCTGGTATCTCTGGGTACTTGCACCAGGTGCTGGGAGAAATCTTGTGTATGGTGGTGGCCTTTGACTTGAACTTTGCTGAACTCTCAACTTGTCGCGACGGCTTTGCTGTGCAACATGAGAATCGGGCCTACAGTTGCTAATGCCCAAAAGTGAATTCTCCAAGCTCGTCGTTGCGGAGTTGAAACATTCTGAATCAAATCGGTCAGACATGGATTCTTCTGATTACGATCACGCCCTCAAATGATCTGTCGCCTTCAAAGCTCCCCAAGCAACGTCTTGCTCTGAATTCAGATGAAAAGAACTGTGAACTGGTTCTAACAACTCCAAATCCATACCACCATACTATTGCTGGCATTCCTGCAGTCCAAACCAGTCTTTATAGAATAATAAAAACAATTAAGCAACAAAATCAGCACAGAAATTAAGACTTTCCATATAATATTTAGCCATGTAAACATAAAAACATCAGGGGGGAAAAGTTCTTTTTAAAAGTGATTTTTTTTTTTTTGTAAAATGGAAGAATATTAGCGAACAGGCAAACGCAAGAGAGAGATAGGGAAGAAAGAAAAGCAAGTTAATATCCATTAATGGAGTAGACAGCATTCAACCATGATAGTAACTGAAGCAGACGGGAAGATACTATACAGGCGGAAGAATTCGAGGATATCACATGGATTGCGAAAGACGAAAAATAAACAACAAAAGCGTGAAAGCCATGTCTACTCACAAGAGAAAGCGCTCTCTCTCTCTCTCTGTTCCATTTCTCGATCGTCGCTTTCTTTCTTTACAAACAGTAAGCTCTGGTGAAACCCTAACTTCGGAAGAGACACTAGCATATCGTGCTGGCAGCCAAAGTAAATCGGCCGTGAACTTTACAGTTTTCACTCACTACTCGTAACTGCTGTTCGTAGGATAATTACTGAAACTTAGAAACTGCTTGTCGGCTGAGCATCCGGACAATGAGTTGTGGCTGCTATGGCCAAGAGGAACGGAAAACAGAGAAAAGCGGGAAGAAGAAAAGGGAGGAGAGAAAGGGGAAGGGAAAGAAGAGAGATTGGGGGAGAGAGAGAAATGTAAACGAAACTGAGGTAGAAAGGATTACCGCCGCTGCAATTCGTGTATCATAACGTTAGGGAAGATCTTTGGGGGTCGTTGTCTCACGGTCATAGTACATGATGGTCTTTGTTACAGGGGTCTTTGTAATTTATCTTAATTTTTTTGTCAATATTTGAATGATTGATAAAAAAAAAAATTTGATGATACTTGAAGAGCATTTATATCTTTTTCAAATGCCACTTCACCACTAGTTAACTAGTTAACACTAGGGGAATTTTTCTTAAGATTCAATTTTCAAAACCATTAACTTTGAGGAGTGGTTTTAAGTGGTGTGTATCACTAAATACCAAAAAAAACGAGGCTTCAAAGGTATTACTTATTAGGTACTTTAATCGTTTGATAACTGTTCTTTTTTATGGAACCTAACCCATTAATACAGAAATATGAGTGTGTCTTTCTTCTCCATAAAACCCACTATCTTACTTGCCCCATTTACCAGAAAAATGAACGTGTATTGAGGAGGACCGTCATCCATGTAGATTGTAGACTCAAAGTATAAGCGCCAAAAAAAGGGCAATTTTTTGAATTACCCCTAATATTTGTGAAATTGACTAATTGTACCCTTACTAGACTATTGTCTAATATTACCCTATTATTTCTAGCAATTGATTAACTCTACCCCTACCGTTAGCATCCGTTAATGCTCTGTGTGCACATATAACCTCACGTGACCTATAAAATTTTTTAAAACCCAATATTACCCTCATCCCCTTCATCTCAACACCAGCATCGTTTAGAAAACCTACTCCAGTTGCACCTGATGAGCATTGATCCTCACTTCTTTGGCCATGCTTAATCCTCAAGAAAGCAATCAGTAGCACCTGCTGCAAATAAGTCCTGGATAGTCCTTTGAACAGGAAACGAGTCCCTCTTCTCTCTCTCTCTCTCGCTTAGTCTTCTTTCTCTATAATAAATTGGGAAAAATGAAAATCAGTGGAGAACCGATGATCTATCAAATGGAGCACCGGCTTTAGCTCCCAGATAAACATAGAGAACATGATGGTGTTTTCAGTTTTGAATGTTCTTTGTGTTTTGTCTCTCATTCGCCAACAATGCTAGTCATTGTTGCTTCGGTGAAAACTAAAACAAACTATATTCAAGAGATCATAGAAAAATCATGGTTGTAGGAAATGATCTCTTCCATGAAAACTATATTCAAATATTTGTTTTCGTTTCACGGTTAAAATGATATGGGCAAATGATTTGTTCCAAATTGTTCCTAATGAAGGGTGATTTGGCCCGACCTAGTGAGGAAGGGACATGTGGATGTGACCTACCAACAGGACGACAACTTAGCAAGGAGAGCCTCGTTAGCAGATTGGGAGCTCGGGTGATCATTTAACTCGGAACCAAGAGCCACTTCGTCACTCATGTATCGAGGTGACACGTGCTCGATTCTAGACGCTTCTCAACAGACTCTGAACCCCCTAGGATCACACCGCGAAACCGAAGGCCTTATCCTCATTCCGCCTGGATCGGAAGGTAGTGATAGACTTCATTGACTTGTATGTTCCTCCCTTCCAGGGCAGACGGATCCTAACCACGCGGGCCGAGGATCCATGAGTTGTTTCATGAGTTCCACGACAGCTTAGCTATATAAGGACTTCAAACCCCAAGATCAAGGTACGCACGATTATTTGCTCGCTAGTACACTTATCATTCAACTTTCAGCTCGCAATACTAACTTAAGCATTAGAGCGACCTCGCCGAGTTAGCCACCCCAAGTTCTCTAAGCTTCACTGTCTTGCAGACCGAACTAGCTCGCCACGCGGCCAATTTCCGGATCATCCTCTAGCTAGGAGCATCTAGATCGCGCTCCATCATTTGGCGCTGTCTATGGGAAACGATCGAAAGGTCATTCCAACATCTATCTTACTCTCAATGGATTCCTCCAGCAATACCGGGAAAGGTATCGACATGAATGTCACCGGGGGGCAAGATCAGCAATCAATTCTCCCTCTAGGTCCCATGATGTGTATCGGTCAGTTTACCATTCCCCTCACAGCTTCGGGGGTCCCATCACTGTCTGTACCACAGATCACCCTACAAGTGAGCGCCCCGCTCTCCCGGGTGGAAACTGCCTTCTCAGAGATATCTGTGATCTCCCTGGGGTCGGGCACTCTCAGTTCGATGACTTGGTTCAATGTGTCCGGACGATGCAAATCTAGATTGTGCTCCATCATTTAAAGCCCGGAACCAGGTATCCCGAGATTGAGAAGCTAGCATACGCACTGGTCATAGCAGCCCGGGAACTATGCCCACACTACCGTCGTCCTCACCAACAGACCCCTAAGACAGATTTTGCTCAAGCCCGAGGTGTTTGGAAGATTAACAAAGTGGTCCATCAAACTCAACGAATACGACATCCGGTTTGAGTCCTGCCCAACGATCAAAGCCCAAGTCTTGGCAGATTTTATCGCAGAATGCACGTTCAACATGCCGACCCCGGAAATGGCTGAGCTCGCCAGTACGTTAGAGACATTGACCAATGCGGCACCGGTCCCCATCAGGATTGGACCGACGTGGGACGAGGAGCCATGGATCCTCCACATAGATGGCTCATCGAATCTGCGAGGAAGCAGTGCTGGACTGATGTTGTACGAGCCAAGCAAGGTAAAGTTGGAGTATGCTCTCCGGTTCAGATTTGAAGCGTCGAACAACGAGACGGAGTACAAGGCACTGATCGTTGGGCTTAACCTAGCGAAGGAGATGGGAGCCAAACACTTCATCGTATGTAGCGATTCACATTTAGTGGTCAACTAGGTTAACGATGATTACGAGGCTCGAGACCAGACCATGGCAACATACCTAGCCAAGGCAGAGAGATTCTGCCAAACTTCCACTCTTGCTTCCTCAGGTAGATACCGAGGTCCGAGAACACTGAGGCCGATGCACTCTCTTGATTGGCCAATACCAGTGACACCACAAAGCGAACAATATATATCTAAGACCTGCCTCACCCTAGCATTCTTGGGGGGGCAAAAGAAGTCGCTCCCGTGTCAGTAGCGGAATCGATTTGGAAAGACCCGCTCATCGATTATCTGCTCCACGGGACCCTGCCAACAGAACGCAATGCAGCTTAGAGGATAGAGCGACAGTCAGCCCGATATGTATAGGAGATCCTTCACGCTCCCCTACCTACATTGCTTGCGACCTTCAAAAGCGGATCAAATACTGCGCGACATCTACGAGGGACTCTGTGGAGGACACCTGGGGGGCAGGGCACTTGCCCAGAAGGCGCTGAGGCAAGGATATTACTAGCCTACCATGAAGGCAGACGCCCTTGAGCTCGTCAAGAAGTGTGACAATTGCCAAAGGCACGCCAACATCTCCTGGCTACCTGTTGCCGATCTAAAATACCTCACCAGCTCGTGGCCTTTTACTCAATGGGGGATAGACATCCTCGGACCTTCCCCCTAGAAATCAGGCAGAGGAGGTTCCTAGTCGTGACAGTAGATTACTTCACGGGATCAAGTACTGCGCGACATCTACGAGGGACTCTGTGGAGGACACCTAGGGGGCAGGGCACTTGCCCAGAAGGCGCTGAGGCAAGGATATTACTGGCCTACCATGAAGGCAGACGCCCTTGAGCTCGTCAAGAAGTGTGACAATTGCCAAAGGCACGCCAACATCTCCTGGCTACCTGCTGCCGATCTAAAATACCTCACCAGCCCGTGGCCTTTTGCTCAATGGGGGATAAACATCTTCAGACCTTCCCCCCAGCAATCGGGCAGAGGAGGTTCCTGGTCGTGACAGTAGATTACTTCACGAAGTGGCTGGAGGTCGAGCCCTTGGTAACCATTACAGCTCGCAACATACAGAACTTCTTCTGGAAAAACTTAATGTGCCGCTTCGGACTATCTCGGGTGTTGATATCCAATAACGAGAAGCAGTTTGAAGACATCAAGTGGGAATCCAGAAAAATTTCACCTCAATGAAACACTCACAAGCGAACGAACAAGTTGAAATAACAAATAGGGCGATTCTCCATGGATTGAAAGCTCGCCTGGCCCGAGCTAAGGAATTGTGGGTGGATGAATTGCTCAGTGTCCTTTGGGCCTACCGAACTACCATCAAGACCGCGATGGGTGAAACACCCTTCAACCTCACGTATGGTACAGAAGTGGTGATCCCAACAGAGATCGAAGTGCCAACGATGCGACTCGAGGCTTATGACGGGGAAGCAAACGATGACGAACTCCCTACCAACCTAGACCTGATAGAAGAGGTACGGGACTTGGCCTACATTCAGACAACGTCTTACTATCAGAGAGCAGCTCAGTACTATAACACACGGGTGAGGAAACGACAGTTTCGTGTTGGTGACCTGGTCCTCCGAAAGGTTATGGTACCAGAACCTAGCGTGGGTAAGCTCGAACCGAATTGGGAAGGTCCGTACCGCGTAAGACGGGTGTTCAGGGAAGGCACGTATGAGCTCGAGACCATGGAAGGGAAGCAGGTACCTTGAGCCTGGAATGTCGACAACCTAAGAAGGTATTACCTATGAGCTCACAACTCTAGAGCAGTTTAGAATTTACCAAGTCCACAAGACTACCGAGCTAGAGAGAGGACAGTAAGTCACTCCTAGAGCTTAAGGGCTACGAGGGCGAGCTGATAAAAGACCTAGTTGCCTCTTCGGCATAGGCACAATAAATCCTAGTCGCCTCTTCGGCATAGGCACAACAAGTCATAGTTGCCTCTTCGGCATAGGCACAATAAGTCCTAGTCGCCTCTTCGGCATAGGCACAATAAGTCCTAGTCGCCTCTTCGGCATAGGCCCAATAAGACCTAGTCGCTATGGCATAGGCAATAAAAAAAAAAACAGCTGCTTCAGCATGGGTAAGTAAGTAGCCCGTGCACAGACAGGTCGGGTATATACCTTACAGTGTTTGCCCACTTCGACGTACAACAATACCGGGTTATTCCTACTTGGAGCCTAGCTCGTTATCTCGACACTTCGGGATAATCAACACTTAGAAAAATTTTGTACACATGAGATTTCTTGAACTACTGTATTTCACTAATGAAAGTTC